GATTTCAAAAGAGGATTTTTATTAAGTTGTTTAAGAAATCTGTTGATGAATACAAGTGTTTTGCTAATGAATTTCGGATCTCCCTGAGGAGGATGTATATATGTATATATATTAGTCTAAGTCGGCTAGAGCTAAGCCTAAAACAATAAGAAAAACTTCCTTTTTCTTCGGGATTTCCTCTTATTTGCGGTGGGCTTCTTAGAGGCTCGTTTTATTCGCGGAGAGCTCTTAGTAGGCTAGCTCTTGGACCTGCTCCATATCGACTCACTTTGGTAAAGACCCAGCGGACAGTCGGTTAAACATCGGCTCCCTGGTTTAATGTCAAACCATTGTCTTGATAAACTGTCTGCCGTTTAACTCAATACTTAGTCATTTTGAGGATTGTTGATTCCGGTGGAAGGAATTTGACCCCAACAATTAGCCCCCAACTCGGCAATGTCAGTAATGATAGTGCCGAGATAAATAGATCGATTGGGTTGAAATCAACAATCTTGAAGTCTAACCATTGAAGATACCCATTTTCTTTTTAACAGAGAGCCGAGCCATGACTTTGAGCTGCCGAGCTGCTCGTTGTCGTTGTCATGATCCCGATCCATTTGTAGAGTAATGTTGATTCGTCTTCTCGATGTGATGTCGATCCGTAGAAGGAAGTGATGTCGAACCGTGAGGAAGAGGAGTTCGAGCCGTAGAAGAGAGTGATCCACCCCGTTGGAAGGAGACGCCAAGTCGTTAGATGACGATGAAGCCGAGCTGCTTGCAGAAGGTGACGACTCGTGAGAAGATACAATGTCGAGCTGGTGCGGATGATGACAACTCGTAACAATGGACATCTCGATGATTTGATGCCGAGTTCCTTTGATTTACGGTTTGCCACTTGACATACGACCGATCCGTTTAAATGTATTGATGCTAGTTCAAATATCGACTCGATGCCGATCCAAATATAGACTTGGTGCTGAGCCATTTGACACATGATGCCGACCCAATATTGATATGATGCCGACCCGCTTGCTCTATATCATCGTTAGCTCATTGCTTTGTATGTCTTAATGTATTGATCTCGACTTGTTTGATAGCTCGCCGTTATTTTGTTACTTAAGAAAAAAATTCTCTTCTTTGGGAACAGCAAGCCCTTAACTTCATACTTAGAAAAAAAAATTGTTATGTAGAGAGCTCGTCGCCCGCAGTGTTTTTGTGCCCAGACGTTTTGATGAGTTGATGCCGAGCCTCAACAAGAATTGAACATTTTTGATGTGATAAGAAAATATGCGGTGAGCCGATGTCATCTTTGATAAATGTGATAATCCACGGTGAGACGGTATCATCTTTGATGAGATATGAAGATCCGCAGTGGGACAATATCACCTTTGATGAGATGTGATCCGCAGCAGGACGATATCATCTTTCATAAGCTGTGATGATCTGCGGTGAGCTATTTTTAAGATAGGGCGAGCCGTTTTATGAAGTGTGCCGATCTCTGTTATATGGTTCGGGTTGGTTCTTTATCGCAGCCTTATGGACACACCTTAACCATAATTGATGTAACTTTCGTAACGCCGATCCAGTTGACTTCAATTTTCTTTTGGATGAAAGCTAACTCAATTATCTATCTCGTGCCTAAATTTCAGCTCATTCTGTCTTCTTATTGGCTTCTAGATTGGCTCCTGGCGATCCGATCTCTTTGGATCAGCCGCGAGAATCCCAGATTGGTGTGTATTTAGTAAATCAGTTGTATCTTTCAAACGTCAACTCCAAATGATATGATTCTAACACCATTGGAAAGCTAACTCAAAGATATTTCTTTTTAATCATGGATGCCAATCTGTTCTGATGATTGTACCAAAGCGGCGAGCCGGTTTAACGAAGAGACGATATTGTCACTTGTCAAAGTGATGATAGCGACTTGTTACATGAAGAGGATATGATGACTATCCCTTCTTTGGAGACAACGATGCGACATGGTGTATATGGAGATAGTGCCGATTCGTCTTAGTGATTATCATGGCGATCCGTTGATGAAAAGATGGTGTGACTCCAATGATGGAGAGATCTGCTGACAAGAATGTAGGTTTGATTGAGACAATAGTGAACCGTTTGTTCGTTTTTTGCTAGACGATAACGATGAGCCGTTTCTTGGAGAAGATGGGTCGCCACCTTTGATAATGAATATTCGATGTTAATGCTGACGAGCCGTTCAATGTATATAGGATAAAACATTTTGGTTTACAATACTTCATTAAATATGCCTGCTCCAATAATAAATTTAAAATATTTAAAAGCCTGTTCCCGCAAATAAACTCGCTCCGGTAATGAGCACTTAAGAGTTTTTTTACCAGCGAACCGTGTGCTGAGTTTTTTTATATGAACATTCTGGTTTACAAATATGTTCCCGTGAAAGATTTGTTGGATTGTTTCGTCTTCCCATACTTCTCCCTTAGCAGCTTCACCTGCTCTTCATTCTTTGCAAATTTAGCT